TAAAGAAAGGCAGGTAATATCAACTACTACCTAAAGTAATGACTATGTTGAAAAACGTAAGCTGGTAATAGTATTCAATGGAGCTTAAAAAAAATTGGGGCCCCGGAAGGCTCAGTTGGAGGAGCATGTGACTCCTGACTTCTGGTTGTCAGTTCGAGCCCTGTGTTGGGCGTAGAGATTACTTAAATAAAACAAAAAAAATTGCGCATGGAGCAAGCCGGTTTTCTTTGAGCCTCTCTTCACCCACAGCCAGCTAAGGTCCCAGGTTTGACCCAGATGGCAGCTGATGGCTGCCTAGGCCTCTGGTGACCCCAGCTTAGAGGGGACTCCTAGCTCTCGACCACCTGGCTGCTCTTCTCTTCTGCTCCCTGGCATTTGAAACTCAGTTATAACCGTTTCCTCTTTTCTTACTCATCTTTTAACAAGCTCCTAGCAGTTGAAAAACCTAATTTCAAAATCTGCTAACCACTGCCCATTAATCTTATGGCATGATCCTGTTGTAACTTGTGGCCAGAGTTTTTGCTCCCGCATCTATCAGGGTCTAAAACCGCTAGGGAGGGTGTGGGGAAGTAATTGGGCATCAGGTCTACCAAGCCTGGGTTCATGTCTAACTCCATCACTTACTACACGTTTAATCTGGGGAAAATTAAATTTGTTTGCTTCTGCAAATTGGGGTTCATTTCACACATCTTTGAGAATATATTTGTGAGGACTTGAGATCGTGTGATTACAGTGCCTAGCAATAGGAAACTACAGTGAATGGTAATTTAAACAAGGCTGAACTCTTGTGAAATTAGATATTCTAGCTTATTAAAAAAAAATGTCTTTCCTAAAATTCTAAAATGCCTTAGTAACCTTAGTGTAGTGAACATGGTTCAGTTCTTTGACATGTGATTATCTCACATTGCTTTTGGGTGGTTATTCTAAAATAAACAAGAACTGTGGATTCGAACACCTATTTTTTATTTTTTAAAGATTTTATTTATTTGAGAAAGAGAGTGCGTGCACAGAGGGAGAGTGAGAGGGAGAAGCAGACTCTCTGCTGAGCAGAGTCTGACCTGAGCCGAAGGTAGATGCTTAACCAACTGAGCCACCTAGGCGCCCCAAACACCTTTCTTTCACACACGAGGAAACGAAAGCTCAGGGAGATGAGGCATCTTGGCCAAGACCCCACAGCTGGTAAGTGACACAGCCTCCAAGGACCACAGCTACGGATGTTAGGATACTGGCCTGAGTGATGCACTCTAGTCAGGAGTCTATTTCAGTTGGGAATTGATAAATAATTTCTTATTTTATATATTGCACCAGCAAAGTTCAGTTACACAAACAAGCAGCATAAGGGATTTAGGTCTGACATGAGAGGAGTTTCATCAGAGCAAAAGTTCTTAAACAGTAAAATGGATGAGCAAGGATGCTGTGTAACTCTCTGGGGTTTAGGAAAGAGTATCTGTTGTTACTGGGGGCAAACAAAGCAGAGAGAGCAGGGGAAACCAGGTGACTAAGGTTTCTCTCAGAATCATGAGTATTAAAAGCAAGGATTACTAATATCCCAGCTCATGATTACTAAGCAGATAACCTGTCCACAAGATTCAGTTGTCAGACAGTCTCCCTTCTGGCATTGCTCTTGGTAGGCCTCCTGAAGTACAAGTTTACAGTTTATAAAGAGGGGAAGAGCTGCTTACCCAGAAAAGTCAAAGTTCTGATAGAAGCTGCGGTTCCTGGAGGAAAAGCTCTCACAAGCATCAGGATCCTGTGAACTGAAAGAACTTGCCTGTAGTAAGTCAACTGGGAAACCAGAACATGTCCCAAGGCTAGGATTTGAGAATGTCCAAGTACTTATACAGTGTCCAAAACACAACTTAGGAAGGCCTAGACAACATTCCCCAGAAGTCCAAGACCTAATTGTAATAGTTCTTAACAGACTTAAGCAAACTTCTAGAAGCAAACTTAATAGGTTTCATCTCATTTCCAAATCCTCTCTATTCTTAAGTTCTTTGTTTGCCACGAACAGAACACAGAGTCCCCTGGGCTGCAGGGCAGGAGGAGAATTCAGAAGCCTGAAGACAGGAGACACCAGAGCAGAGCAGCTAGACATGGCTCTGCAGAGAGCCTGGGTTTAATTCTGGCTTTGCCATTTACTATGACCTGGCGCAAGTTTCTGAACCACACTCTGTGCCTTAGTTTCCTCTTCTGTAAAGTGAGGTTAATATACAATCACCATCTCATAGGGTTGCAAGGATTAAATGAGATAATATATGTACAGAGCCTGACTTGTAGAAGAAATTCAATTAGTGTTCACTATTATTGTCACTATTCTTATGTTAACAAGTCATATTTATAACTACACTTCATTCAAGGCACCATAAGCAAAGATTTAATATCAAATAGTGTTAATTACACACTTATATACAGTATCAAGAGAAAGAGAATTGCAATTTTTGAGGAAAATGGGAAAGTACCTTTCGAAGCTTCGACATACCAGTCGTTGACAAAACTGATTAGGAACAGTTCATACTAAGTGAATAAATGTAAATCATCAAAGGTAGAAAATTTCTCCAGCGGAAAAACCAGTGAAGAATCTCTTGGAAAATGATAGAAGAAAATAATATAGAAATAAGAATGTTAGAGATTAGTTTTGTAAGAAAGGCAAATTCAGTGCAGAGAAGGGATACCGGCTAGTGATCTCTCATGGCTTCTAGGCATATTTTTGTTATGCATTTCCTAAGCCAAAAGCTTCAACAGTTCTGGTTCTTTAGCTTCAGCTCTGCAGAACCGAGTGGCCATCTGTTCTACCACAAAAATGCAAAACAAACTCTGCATGCTGGGAAGTCATGTCAATCAGAACCTCTGGGGGAATAGCTTAATAATGATCTTTTTTCCAATTAAGAACAGAATTTCTTGTCATGGAAAAATTAGAATTTTTGCTTAACCCAAAGAGAAATAAATTAATTTTGTAGGTTTCAAAGATGAGAAATCTCAACAATAATCCTAAAATTTTAAAGTTTTTCTTAGTTGGCTCAATACAGCAGTTTATGAATATGGCTGGCTTCACCTCTTTCTCCTGATCCATCAGGATGGCAAGAGTTATCACAACCTGAGCAAGAATTTCATAGGTTCTTTACAGTAGGTACAAAAATCGGTTAGCAAACCTAGACTAGGGCTGACAAACTTTTTAAGATAGGAATGATGGAAAAAATGTTAAAGGTATTGGCGTATTACCTACCTCTTGTTTTCATGTAATTTCCTGGTTAATTATACCCAAAAGACGTGATTAAAACATACATCCGTTTACTAAGATTTACATTGGACCAGGCTTCCTTTAATTAAGTCCATGTGGATGTAGAATCTATATTGAATGCTTTTATCATATTACTAAGAAAAAGTCTCCACATTTTTTTTTTTTGCAATGGTAGCTCTTCCTTCTCATTCTGTAGGTTAAGAAGTTGACAGTCTCTCTCCCAGTACTTTGAGATTTACCAAAGCTAGTTTGTAGGTGGGCCTGGGTGGCTCAGTCGCTTAAACGACTGCCTTCGGCTCGGGTCATGGTCCCAGGGTCCTGGGATTGAGCCCCGCATCAGGATCCCTTCTCGGCGGGAAGCCTGCTTCTCCTTCTCCCACTCCCCCTGCTTGTGTTCCCTCTCTCGCTGTCTCTCTCTGTCAAATAAATAAAATCTTTAAAAAAAAAAAAAAACTCTCTGTCAAATTAAATAAATCTTTAAAAAAAAAAAAAAAAAAGAATACATGAAACACTGTAAATGAACTAAGTCACTAACAGAACTGAAGCCACTGGTCCATGCCAGAAGTTGCTGGGATTACCTCTTGAGTTTCCTGTTTTCCTTTCTGTAACATGGAAGTAAAATTTAGGTGTTCTGCTCCTTCAGAATGCCTGGAAGGGAGAAAAACCCAAACATTCCTTTATATCAACGTAAGTAAGGTACATGTCTTTGATGATGGGGATTTTCACTGAAGAGTTCAGTGACCCTTTTGTCTTTTCCTTTACATGATTCTGAAGCAAGGACAGTTTTGTCCTTACCTGAACTTTGTGAAGTTAACACAATGTCAGAGTTGGAAAGGATCTCAGATGATTTGGTCGAAACTTACCTGATGCTGGAGCACCTGATGTACAATATAGCCACCAGGTGACTGTTCGGGTTATCTTTTTAAAAGTGGTATCGTAAAACAGAGAAACCAACCGAAATCCTCCAACTTTTGACCCCAGAAGAGTACGGAATTCTTAGCCCAGGTACCCAACACCCAAAATAAGAAATTATTACCTGCCAAATAGCTTAATAGAAAATAGCAGTAGGTCTGTGGGGTTTATCAATCCTTTGGCAGTGCTGTATTTTTTTTCCTAACCCAAGGATATATGTGGACATTAAACATAAAAAACTGGAATCCATGATCTTAAAAACAAGGACCTTAGTAAAATGCAAAATGATTTTTTTTAAACCTCTTACTCATTAAATAACCAGGTTCAATATGTCTAGAAACATCATTTGCCATCCATATAAAGAATTCAAAAGCAAATAAACTGGAGCTTGTGTTTAAAAGGAAGATGGGGAAGTGCTGCTGGCTCAGTGAGCAGAGCATGCAACTCTTGATCTTGGGATTGTGAGATCAAGCCCCACACTGGGTGTAGAGATTACTCAAAATCTTTAAAAAAAAAATTTTTTTTTAAAAGATTTTATTTATTTATTTGACAGAGACAGCGAGAGAGGGAACACAAGCAAGGGGGAGTAGGAGAGGGAGAAGCAGGCTTCCCGTGGAGCAGAGAGCCCGATATGGGACTCGATCCCAGGACCCTGGGACCATGACCTGAGCTGAAGGCAGTTGCTTAACAACTGAGCCACCCAGGCGCCCCAAAAATTTTTAAATTAAAGAAATAAAATAAAAAGGAAAATGGATGGCAGCATTGAAAGGAGTAGAAAAGACTCAAGTGAATGCAACTTCGCTACTTCTAAGGATATACTAGAAATTTTTAAATAGAAGCTACAGTTCAGCAGCTTTAAAATTTCATGTTTATTCATATTTTTCAAAATATATGTACATAAAAAAAGGAAGATTTACAACAGGAAAGATTGCCTTACATGCAACACAGATTCCAATGAGCTCATGACGGGATCACACATGATTATGGATCTACTTCAAGCCAATCTTCTCCAGTCCAGTTCGCAGCCACACACTGCGAGGCTGCAGATAAGATCCCAGGAGACAATCCAAGTGGAATGAATCAAACAAATGTCTTTTGCCTCTGGCAGCACTCAAAGGGGCCAGAAGGTGTACACCAAAAAGTTTAAGACAATTAAAATGTCAAGTGCCACAGGGAGGGTAAATGATAACCGGAAATCAGTTAATTCCCAAGTAGAAAGCTAGTACTATTGAACACAACTGCACGATACTAAAACAAATACAAATGAAGGTTAGGTAGTCGGGCTTCATTTGCTTTTTTTTTCTTTGTTTTTTTTTAAATATCCCAAAAAGGAAGCCACTTGTTTGATATCAAAAGTGCTGTGGAAAGAAAGGAGGGGGAAAAAAACCCACAGATGAATCTGGAATTTAGTTTATTTTAGCAAATTGTATGTTTTTCCACCTTAACATTTCTACATTAGCAATGATGTAACTCTCCAACATTTCCTTATAAAAAAGGCAAACTGGAAATGACAACTCATGCTCCAAATATTAAAAAATATATTTAAACATTTGATCAAGAAGATTTTATATGTTTTGGTTTTTGGTAACATGGGTGACACCAGAAATCACAAATTCAATATATTCCTGTATTTCCCCTTCAGTCAAAAATCAAGTATGTGGAGGGAATTTGTGCTTGCGGTTGAAGGAACACAATGCCCTGGGCCAGTGAAAAATACCTGGAAATTGACCAATGTGAAAGTAGCCCAAAGGAGTCACAGGTTTTCAGAACTTCATGAAATCATAACGTTTTTTGGCTTATTCCCAAAGCTAAGATGTCTCTGTATTTATATAATTGGAGAGAGAAGGTTAGTGGAGTAGTTTCATAAATAAGATTAATTATTATAGCTATAACTGGAGTCTCCAGGCAGAAAGCTTTACAATTCAGTCAGTGCTATATACTGCCTCTTTTTTATTTCCAGCACCTGACCAGCATCCTATTCTTGATGCTTTCTACAAATATAAAAATCTTTGCAACTGTTTAGATAAAGCTGGAAGGGAAAAAAAAAAAAGTCAAAGCTGACCATAAAAGAGGGTTGGGGTGGAGGGAGAAAAAATGACAAGTGTAGATTATACAGTTCAGGAAAATCCAGAGTTATAGCAGAAATTAAAATGACTGAGGGAAGGGGCAGGCACCAAGAACAGCACCTAAAGCTAACAAATGCCTAAATTGGTTTATTTATATTCCCTCCCCACAATGTTCATAGGGGAGGGAAAAAAATGTAATTTTAAAAGCATCAAAACTAAAACAAATGCACACTGACCTTAGAAAATAAGATTCTGAATTTTATCATGATACCCTTTTTTTTTCCTATAAAATTTACTTTTTTGCTTTGAAAGATTTCTTCATGTTGGATTTGCCCTTCCCGGGCAATTTCACTTCCTTTCTCACACTGGCTGCAGGCTTCTTTGAAGAGCCACTACTAGGTTTCTTGATGACTGAGGATGAGGGTCTGGCTTTCTTGGCAGGAGTTTTGGCCTTAGGAGGGGCTTTCTTGGGCAGGGGCCTCGCTTTCCCCCGCTGGGCAGCTGGGACTTTAGGTGCAGGCTTGGACCCTCTCTGCTTCACGGATGCAGCCTTCACAGATGACTTAGCTGGGGTTTTCTTCTGCAACCTGTGAGAACCAAAGAACAAAGGCCATCACTTAGCACTTGAGAGATTCACTTTGCCAGGATGACCAGATATTTTGCCACAAAAGATCTAGCACAGATAAAAAGTCGCCTATGTAAAGGATAGGAATGTGATTATTTTTAACTAGAGCCTTTACTAAAATTGTATAAAAATTCAACCGATTCAATGAAGTCTATACATAATTCATGTTGTTTTTACTAAGAAAAAGTGGGATTATTTTTCTTTGAATAACCAACAAACTATGGATATACATACAGTATTTACCAAACGGTAAATTACATATTCACAGGGCTTCCTAAGTTCAAAGTCCCTGAATTTTCAAGAAGACAAGTTCAAATGCTACACAAAGAACTTTCTGAGAGGGATCTTGAATTAAGTCGCTATTATTATTACTGCCATTTTTAGCTCTAAGGTAGAAAGGCCTCCCACAAATCCATACCTCCTCTTAGGTGGAGGCTCTTCATCGTCAGAGTCTTCTTCTGAGGAGTCATCCTCCTCTTCATCCTCATCTCTTGAATCATCTAGCTCTTTCTTTGGAAATAGAACTCCTGGGCTATGAAAGAAAGAAGGAAAGAAAAATTAGGTAAAATCAGGTCAAAGAGAAGTTCCACACAGGACAAGGGAGAAATGTGAACCTAGGTGCTCTTCCCTGGACATTCCACTTCTTCCTGCCCTTCCAAATGCTATGTTACAAGTATCAGGTTACAGTTTAACTTATTCTGAACACACAAAGTTATAACAAATCTATAAAAGTCCCAGGCCATACCTCATTCCCTTCCTGCTACCATTTAATAAAACTGATTCTTAATCATTGACTTACTAAACAATTATTTAAGCTCCTGATGTGTGTCCAGCACTGTATTTGCCACTGAATATATATATAGCACTGAATTGTCTATAAGGCAGCAAACAGATTGCATAGCAGTATACATTTTTTGCCCTAATAATACTGGCAAAAGACCTCGAAATAATATAAAGGCTGAATCTCTTCAAAGTTTTAGAGAAATTCAGCAAGGATTTTCTAATTTTCTTTGCCCTGATAGAAATATTGATCCCATTGATTAATAATTGCTTAAATTATAACATTTTATTTTTATTTATTTATTTGACAGAGAGAGAGACACAGCAAGAGAGGGAACACAAGCAGGGGGAGTGGGAGAGGGAGAAGTAGGCTTCCCGCCGAGCAGAGAGCCTGATGTGGGGCTCGATCCCAGGACCCCGGGATCATGACCTGAGCCGAAGGCAGACACTTAACGACTGAGCCACCCAGGTGCCCCAAATTATAACATTTTATATGCTTGACTTTAAGATTTTAATGTTTGAAAAATTCAAATAATATGCAACCAAGCAACACCTACCTAGACTTGTGCACAAGGTACAATATAAGAAACTACACTATACTCTTGCTAAAACAGGGTTTTAGTGGTACATGTCATGGCACTTTACTAGAAATGAAAGTATAAGGCCATTGCATGGGTACACAGGACAATGCTGGGCCCATAGGAGGTGCTCAATGTATTTTTTAGTGCAATAATAAATATAGATAAAAAAAAGTTTTCAAGAAAATGGCCCTGTCTCTATAGTATGGAGAAGGCAAATTAGGATTCTTGGAAGCAGCCAATGCAATGCTCTCCTTCCTTGAATGATGGGCAATTTTTTTTAAAAGATTATTTATTTGAGAGAGAGAGAGTGAGAGTAAGAGAGAGCATGAGCAGGGGGAGAGGCAGATGGAGAGGGAGAAGCAGACTCCCCGCTGCGCAGGGAGCCTGACACATGACTCAACCCTGAGATCATGACCTGAGCCGAAGGCAGATGCTCAACCAACAGAGCCACCCAGGTACCCCGAATGATGGACAATTAAAACATACCTAACTCTCTAATAGTCTTCTTGTCATTATCATTTACTTAATAAAGAAGGAATGAACATAAAAATAGCCAAGGATCTCAAAGAATTCAATGCTTGATTTTCGGAATGGATGGCTAACAGTAAGCTCTGGCAGGATAGCCAAAATCTCCCCATTCTTACATGAAAAGCTTTTACTCTAACACAATACTGCCTTAGTAGGGGCACCTGGGTGGCTCAGTCAGTTAAGTATCCAACTCTTGGCTTTGGCTCAGGTCATGATCTCGGGGGTCATGAGACCGGGCCCTGAGTCGGGGTCCATGCTCAGTGTGGGAGTCTGCTTGAGATTCTCTCTCCCTCTCCCCCTCCTGCTCATGCTCTCTAAAATAAATAAATAAACCTTAAAAAAAAAAAAAACCCACCCCAAAAAACCAACAGTATTGCCCTAAGTAGTCTTTATTTTCAAGTAGAACAGTAATAAGTTAATAAATTAAGCCCAAGCCTGTAACCTAGAATCAGATTTTAAATTTACAATGACCAACACTTCACATTATGGGCTAGGTGCTTACCTGGGATAATAGGGAAAACAGAGCTGGAAGGTGCCACTAAATCCTTTGCCAGAGATCTGTTCCATCCACCCATTCTTTTCACATTTCTGCAGAGTTTTCTTCAGCAAATGCACTGAACAAAAAATTCAGAAATGAAGAAAGTTGTTTTTCAATTTGATAATTCCCTCAACTACAATCAGTTATACATCAATTTACTGTCCTGTCAAAATACTAGTTGACATGTGCTAAGGGAATTCTTTGTGGTCAAAAGGATTAATAATTCACTTAATTAATTAAGTGCCCATAAATTTGAAAATGTTAAATTGTCACAGCAAGAGACTTTTAGAGACCACTAAGTCAAGTTCCTCATTTCACAGGAAGGAAAACAGGAGCCCAGAGTGGTGACTTGCCTTACAGTGGCACAAAAATGATTAACAGCCAACTTAAAACTAAATCTTTCATCTCCATTCAAACATCCACTGAATACCTATTTGTACTAGGAAAATCATCTAGGAGAATATTGATAAAGATCAACAAATAACAGAACAATACCGTGGACTCTAAAGGCCTCACTGATTCTCACCTTTCATACAAAGACACATCGAAACTACATTTTATGGTGATTCAGTGTCCAAAAAATAGCTGCAATATCAGTGAAACAGAAAAGGTTAATAACCAACTTCATCTTCTCTTGTAATACTCAACCAAAAGGGAAAATCATGAAATGGTCTACAAGGGTCAGTATACACAGTAAACACAACACGTATCTTAAGGAAGGAAGGAAAGATAAAAAAAAGTCACACACAGCAGTTTTCAAAGTAACGTATTAAAAAAATGACCAGAGAGCATTCTTCCTTAACATTAAAAAATGCATACTACATATATGCTAAAGGTCACTATTAAGATGTCAAAATTACTTTTAATTAAAATGATACGGTCTAGTTTGCACTTTGTTACTTACTTATTTTCCACATTCCTTGCCCTACACCACTATGCCTAAGCTAGTAGCTCACGGAGAAAATACCCAGCCTCCCTCAGTCGTATGTGACAGTGCTGCCAGGGTGAGGCTTTTCATCTCCAATCACCACCTGACAGAGTAAATACACTTTACTGAAAAAAAAGTATTTTCTTTTTCAGGGCTTAAGGCAATGAGAAATAACATAAGTCGTATTTAAAAACACCAGCTTGGTTTCAAGGTGGAATCAGATGTTTTAGTAAACATTCAGAAAGGCAAAAAGATATTATATTTGAGAGGTGTTCTGAATCAAGGATTTATCTAAATTACAACAAAAACAAATATGAGAAAAACCTTTACAGCAAAGTAAAATCAAATCCTGATCTTCAATAAACATTGTAAATTAAGGAGAAGCCTTGATCATTTGTTTTTCTTTTTGTAAATAATAAATTTGTAAAGTTGTTGTTCCCTCTTGGTTTTCACAGTCGATACTTAATGCTTTGTCATTAACAGCATAAGCTCTAAAATTTTTCACAAGATAATTCCCCTGATCCCAGTTAATGCACACAACTCTGAGTCTTACTTTGATAGTTAGAATTGGTCCCTGGGTGGTTCTCGAGGACATACTTCTTCAGAGCAGTGGTGGAGCAGGTCTTCGGCTCATTCATGGCAGCAATGGCAGACAAGATTGCATATTCCATCAGGCTTCCACCAAGCAGGGGTTTCTCCCCTGATTTCTTCAGCTGTTTTCCAAGGAGGAAGAGAAAAGCATCAAGACAACACTCTCCCAAAGCAGGTCAAGACAAGACTCCTCTGCACCAGGTGGGTCGGAGTTCCTGCATTAGCACAGATATGTTTTACAATAAATTGTCAGGTTAGGGACTTTCTCTTCCCACTCATCAGGTATTCAATCTGACTGAGGAGTCCCAACCCTCCTCTGGATATTTCCTCCTTCCATTTACCCCTCCATCCAACCTAAAACAGCAACAGCTACCCTAACTCAAACAGAATAACAGCTCTACCCCAATAAGCAAGTTAACTTGTTAAGCAAGTTATGCCCCAATAAATAAGATACTTTTGAGAATACTTCCTTTCTCTCAATCTGAAAAATGCAGTAGTTAAAAAAATAATAAAAAACCTTTTTAATCCTGTAAGGAAAATAGCAAAGGAAAAGTTTAATAAATACTTAGGGTATCATACAACAGAAAATTACATAGCATATTCCAAGGACAAAAGGATGGGGAACAAAGATCAGCACCAATAAGCAAAAAGGGCAAAAGAACAAACTCAGGTATGGTCTACAACAGAGATTCTCAAAGAGTGGTCTACAAACCCTATGGGGTTCCTGAGACTCTTTCAGAGGATCTGCAAGGTCAAAACTATTTTCATAATAATACTAAGACGTGATGTGCCTTTTTCACGGTGGTGACATTTGCACTGATGGTATAAAAGCAACAGTGGGTAAAACTGTTGCCACCTTACCATAAATCAGAGGAGACACAAAAATGTACCAACAATTACTGTATTCTTTATTGCTATGCACTTCTGGTTTAAAAAAAAAAGTCAATTTCACTTAGGAATGCCCCTGATGAAGTAGCAAAAATTATTTTATTAAATCTCAACCCCAGTGCATGCATGTCTTTTTGTTATTTTATGGGATGAGATGGGAAGAACACATAAAGCATGTCAGCTGCATATAGAAGTATGATGGTAGTCTCAAGGAAAAGCACCCCCAGTGATTGAGTTGTGAGCTGAACTAGCTGCATTATTCATGGAACACCCTTTTTTATTCGATGGAACAACTAACAGATAAACTACAGTTATTTAGGACTTGGGCATCTGGTAGACATTTTCTTGAAAATGTATTAAAAAATCCTCTCCCTTCAAGGAAAACTAACAGTATTTGTTACCAAGCATAAAAAGCAATTTTTTAAGAAAAATTTTAAATCACAACACTTGTATTTACACCATGGTGAGCCTGGTAATTTCCTAGTACTTAAATATTGTTCTGATGAGGTCAGCGGGTAATATGTTACTTTTGTTATTGTTTGATGAAATGTGATAATATTTTAATAACCTGCATAATTCAGTGAACCACTATTTTCCGAATGATCATGTAATGAAATTATGCATGGTTAGAAGATCCACTCAAAGTTCAAGACCAGAAGATTTTAAGGCAAGAATACAGAAAGTTCACTGATACAGTCTCAGATTCTACATGGCAACTAACCTTTAAAGAATTACCACACAATCAGTTAATGTAATACACTATTATTAACAGAATAAAGGACAAAAACCACATGATCATCTCAAAAGACAGAAAAATCATCTGACAAACCCAACAGCTGTTCATAATAAGAATTCCCAAGAAACAATAGGGGAAAATATTTTCTCAATCTGATAAGAGGCATCTATGAAAAATCTACAGCTAACTTAATGGTGTAAGACTTGATGTTTTCCCTTTAAGATGGGGAACAAGATAAGGATGTCTGCTCTCATCACTGTACTGGAGGTTCTAACCAGTGCAATTAGGCAAGAAAAAAGCAAAACACCTAGATTGGAAAGGTAGAAGTAAAATAGTCTTTATCTGCAAACAATATGACTCTTTATGCAGAAAATCCTAGGGAATCCACAAAAAATCCTAAGGAGCCTACAAGAAAACTACCAGAACTAGTAAATGAGTTCAGCGAAGTTGAATCAATATAAAATCAATAGACAAATAAATTACCAATAGACAAATCAATTATTTTTCTATACACTAGCAATATCTAAAAATGAAAGTATTTCCATTCACAATAACATGGAAAAAGAGTAAAATACTTAGGAATAAACTTAAAAGAAATGTAAGACCTTTATACTGAAAACTACAAAATGCTGCTGAGAAAAGTTACTAAATAAACAAGATAGTCAGTGTTCATGAACTGGAAAAGTCAGTATTATAAAGATAATGATTCTTCCCAAATTGATATATAGGTTCAATGCAATCTCTACCAAAATCCTAGCTGGCTTTTTTGTGAAAATTGACAAATGGATCCTAAAATTCATATAGAAATGCACAAGACCTAGAATAATCAAAACATTTTTTAATATTTTTTAGTATTTCCTAGTTTCAAAACTTACTGCAAAGTTTTCAAAGTTGTAGTCATCAAGACAGTGTGATCCTGGCATAAGAATTCACATATAGGGGCGCCTGGGTGGCTCAGTCGGTTAAGCGACTGCCTTCAGCTCAGGTCATGATCCCAGGGTCCTGGGATCACCTCCCTGCACAACAGGGGAGTCTGGTTCTTGCCTCCCCCTGCTCTCTCTCTCTCTTGCTCTCTTTCAAATAAATAAAATCTTAAAAAAAAAAAAAAAAAAGAATTCGTATATAGATCAATGGAACAAAATTGAGAGTCCAGAAATAAACCCTTAACATTTATAGTCAATTGTTTTGTTTTTTTTTTTTAAAGATTTTATTTATTTATTTGACAGAGAGAGACATAGTGAGAGCAGGAACACAAGCAGGGGGAGTGGGAGAGGGAGAAGCAGGCTTCCCGCGGAGCAGGGAACCCGATGTGGGACTCGATCCCAGGACCCTGGGATCATGACCTGAGCCGAAGGCAGATGCTTAACGACTGAGCCACCCAGGCGCCCAATAGTCAGTTGTTTTTTAATAAAGATGCCAAGGCAATTCAGTGGCCAAAGGACAGTCTTTTCAATAAACAGTGTTAGGACAATTGGATATCCACATGTAAGAACATGAATATTTATATCCTTACCTCGTATCACAAACAAAACTCAAAATGGATAGACCTAAATATAAGAGCTAAAAGTTTAAAAAACTCTTAAAAAAAACCATAGGAGTAAATCTTGGGATCTTAAGTTAGGTGATGATTTATTAGCTACAACACCAACAGCAGAAGCAATTTTAAAAAATGATAAACTGGCTTCCATCAAAATTAAATACTTTTGCACTTCAAAAGATACCATTAAGAAAGTGAAAGCATAGACCAAAAATTAAGAGAAAATATTTGCAAATGATGTATCTAGTGAGGAACTTGTATCTAGTTACATAACTTTTATATCTCAATAGCAAGACAAATAACCCAACTTTAAAAACAGGAAAAGGAATTAAAGAGACATCTTACTAGAAAAGATAAACAAATGTCCATTAAGCACATGAAAAGATGGTCAAGATCAGCAATCATTAGGGAAATGCCAACCCAAACCACAATGAAATAGCACTCTATATCCACCAGTATGGCCAGAATTTTAAAAAGACAGTAACAAGTGTTTGCAAAGACATGGAGAAACTAGAACCCTTACAACTTTGTTGGTAGGAATGTAAAATGATGCAGCCACTCTGGTAGTTTCTTACAACATAAATTTACCATATAGTCCAGCAAGTCCACACTCCTAGTTATATATCCATGTGAAATAAAAACATGTGTCTGCACAAAGATTTGGATGTAAATGTTCATAGGCAACATTACTCATAAGAATAAAAAAGGTGGAAATAACCCCAATTTTCATCAACTTGTGAATAAACAGAAAGTGTTAGATTCATACAGTGTGATACCATGTGGCAATACAAAGGAACGAAAGCACTGATTCACGCTGCAACACGGACAAGGCTCAAACAAGAGTATGCTAACTGAAAGAAGACAGACACAAAAGACCACATATTGTATGACTCTTTCTATATGAAATGTGTAGAAAAGGCAAATCTATATAAAGAGAAAGTCAATTAGTAGGTTGGCTGAGGATGAGAATGGGGAGAGACCACAAATGGGCACAAGAGATCTTTTTGGGTGACGAAAATGTTCTAAAACTGCATTGTGGTGATCGCTGTACAACTCTGCAAATTTACTAAAAATCATTGAATTATAAATTGTAACTTAAAATGAATGAATTTTATGATATATAAACCATACTTCAGTAAAGCTATTTAAAAAATTATCATTTGTTCCAACTCTTGGTTTCGGCTCAGGTCATGATCTCAGGGTGGTGGTCGGGCTCCGCACTCAGTGCGAGGTCTGCTTGTCCCTCCCCCTCCCTGTCAGTCCCTCCCACCCCCTACATGCTCAACAGCTCTAATAAATAAATAAAATCTTATTTTTTTAAAAAAATTATCATCTGTTGAGTTTTGGTATAGTATCAAAGAATAATATCCACAACTTTTTGAAAATTATCTTAAAATATTCCACACTTTTCTAACTGTATTACTATGTGTGGTGAAATTTTTTTTTTTTTTTTTTCAGATTTTATTTATTTGACAGAGAGACAGCCAGAGAGGGAACACAAGCAGGGGGATCAGGAGAGGGAGAAGCAGGCTTCCCACAGAGCAGGGAGCCCGGCAGGGAGCCCGACACGGAGCTCAGTCCCAGGACCCTGGGATCATGACCTGAGCCGAAGGCAGACGCTTAATGACTGAGCCACCCAGGCGCCCCGTGTGGTGAATTTTCTTCATAGATATAACCCAAAATGTGTTGAACAGATATCAGCTGTCTTCTCTTAAGCAAAATATTAAAGACTTTTGCAAATTTTTAATAAACAGTACCCCTCTTCTCATTCAATTTTTTTGTTTTGGCAAATATAGCTATTTTTCACACAAAAATTATTTATGCTAATGTGAAATTTAAAAAAAATTAATATTTAAAATTTCCCTCAGTTTTAATTTCTAATACAGTAAATATTGATAGGTATAACCCACATTAAAAAAAACCTCCTGGGGTCCTCAAAAAATTTTAAGAGTATAAGGAGGTCCTGAAATCAAAACTTTTAAGAACCACTTTTCTATAATCCTTTTCGGCCTCTAACCTGGAATGTCCCAGAAGCACCTTTGCCAGTTATTTGTTCTAACTGGCCTCTCTCTACTGCTCTCTGCAGAGCATTCTTCAACAGCTGAGGCCTGCAGAGAAAACAGAAGAACAGCGATCAATATATCAATGAAGGAGACATTTGAAGAAACAAATCCAGGGTGATTTCCTGAACTATGTTCTGATTCTTATTATATGTGGTACTTTGTTAAAATGGACAATAAAATAAAGTACTGGTACCCTTAACACAAGTGGCATTCTTTTTTCTTTGAGCAAAGAAGTTAAGTCATTATCCAGATACATAGAACCATATACCACACACAACCAATTTCGGAACTTCAGGGCACTCCAAACACCCTCTGTTTATTTCCATCAACCACAATGGCAACCAAACTATGTAATCAAACAAAGCATGGGTATGTTTAAAGTCCCATTCAACACTGGAATTCTCTGAGGCAAAATTCATAGATTTTTTTTAAAAAGTATGTAACACATTAACAAAAAACGGAGTCATTTTTTACAAGCCAGTATGAGGTTAGCTTAATAAAATATAATTCCGTGGGAAAGAAAATTGGTTGTTACTAACATAGTGTCTCTGTCTTAAGAGGGTTACAGTTTAAAATAAACAAACACCACTAGGTCATCAAAACCAAATGGCAGGAAAGAAGAAACTGAATATCATTAAAAACATAAAAGGGGTGCCTGGCCGGCTCAGTCCGAAGAGCATGAAACTCTTAATCTCGGGGTTGTGAGTCTGAGCCCCTAGTTGAGTGGAGATTACTTAAAAAATAAAATCTTTAAGACAAACAAACAAACAAAGAACAAGTGCAAGACAGTCCTGTGAAGGAGCAGTAGTCTGAGAGGTGGGTGGGGAATCTTAGGTGCAGGGACAAACCAATCAAGTTGACTTAGGGCTCAAAGGGGACTACGGTATGGCACAAGACAGTCAAGGAAAGCTATACATTCAGGCCAACAATAGGACATCTGAAGAAAGGGTGAATCATATTCTGAAAGTCTGGAGCTATGTTATATCGTAACTCTCAAGAATTACTAAAATGCACCCAAAGAGCAGAATGTCATGAGAGTCATTTGAAACTGGTTAGTTGCTACACAGACAGAAAAAGATCAGTGGGGCAGCCCACTGAGGGGCAGAATAATGAGGGCCAAATTATCATAGGATAATTGCTATTGGATGCTTCCCTGAGGTTTGAGATCTTTCTCTGGAGAAGAAATTTTCAATTTGTATCTAACCACTGAGCACTACAGGCTGAGCTGACATGAGAGTTTTTAATGACATCATCTGTAGGCTCAGGGAAGAAGAACAGAGGGGATCCCATGTTCTAACAGGATGCTAAAGAGTGGGAACTATCCTATCAAATCTTGTACATCCCTGACACTCCAGATGAAGAAACTCCCAATTAAAAAAAAATCACAGTGAAAATATTTCTAAGCCAGTGCTATTCCCTTTGGGATGAATGTGATTTATGCCATGACCCAAAACACATACACACCTACACAGAGACACAAAGTCCTTCATCCCACAAACATTTACTGAGTATTTATTATAGTCATACAGAAATAAACAGATAGACCTGGTCACTGAACTCCAGGAATTTAACAGATGATCAATATACAATAATCAGCATGGTAAAGCATGGTAAGGATCAAGGTTGAAGTATGCGCATAGAGCTTTGGGAACACAGCTGAGGGAGTGATTTAACTGCCAAACACGTTTTCTATTAGTTGCTCTATAAGGCAGACTGCTTAAAGACTGGTTTCCAGTGGGGGATCACACAGCTTCAGTAAAATACTGACACCCCAGTGAGAAGAATCTTCTTTACCGAGGTTCAGGTGCTCCCAGAATGAGATCAGTTAAATCAGTTCCCTTTTTAACATTTTTGTTTTCTCAGCAATCTTTATGCCAGCATAAACTTTTGTCCTGGGCTTTTAGGAATCAGAGTTCTATCACTCACTCCTCTATCTTCCAATAAAACCATATTTTACCAACTGCTTCAAAAATTCTCAGAATGGACCATTCTTTCACCACTGCCATAACTTTAGTATCAGCTACCATACCCTCCCTTCTGGGCACTGTGCTGCTTTCTGTTTTCATAATGCATACCACTATTAGGTCAATATATCTACAAAGGCCACCTTTATGATGTTACTCAACTGATCAGGTAGCAGGTCCTAATGCCTCAACCCAGCTTCAAAGCCTTCCATGACGTAATCTCACTCCTTGTTAGTCTAGATGCAGTCAGACCTAAGCTCCTTTTAGCTCTCAAAAAAGAATGCCAACTCCTGCCCTTTGAAATTTTCTCATGAGGCTCCTTTGGGAATGCCTACCCCACTCTACCATCCATCTAAATTCTATATTCTTGGGACGCCTGGGTGGCTCCGTCGATTAAGCGTCTTTGACTGAGGTCATGATCCCAGGGTGCTGGGATCGAGTCCCACATCGGCCTCCTTGCTCAGCGGGGAGCCTGCTTCTCCCTCTGAATGCAGCTCCCCCTACTTGTGCACTCCCTCTCTCCCCTCCTGACAAATAAATAAAATCTTAAATAAAAAAAAAATTCTACATTTCTCTAGACCTAATCAAGCCGCATCTCTTTTAACTTACTGCTAATTCCCAGGCACAGTTCCCTGTTCTGAAAAATTCTATAGTCTGTATCACACCATTTTGCACTTACTAATAAGGTGCCAAGTGCTGTTTGAAATGCTTTATATGTGTGGAATAAACCAGAAAATATAACAAATCCAAAAAATAGGTACTATTATTGCTCATACTTTACTGATGGCGAAAAGTTGAGTGACACAGAAAAGTCATTTCTCCAAGGTCACACAGCTAGGCAGTGGAAGAACCAGTTACAAACTTAGGCAGTTTGATTCCAGGTTCTACATTCTTTTTTTTTTTTAAAGATTTTTTATTTATTTGACAGAGAGAGAGAGAGGGAACACAAACAAGGGGAGTGGGAGAGGGAGAAGCAGACTCCCCGCTGCGCAGGGAGCCTGA